TCACAGGTTATGTAGAACGGCTGACCCGAGAAGTGAAGGAGAGACTGAATTGCCAATTTCATATGGGGTAGGGGGTTCTCCTTGTTTGGTATTTTTATCCAAGGACGTTTGTTTAGGAACTTAACAAGAGCTTCTCTTTTGGCGTCCTTTATGCCATCGTAGGCTGTCCCGTCTGGTATTTGAATTGGAATTCCAGTCGAAGTCTCGAGCTGAAGTGTAGACCTTCCAGAAATAGTGGTGAACTTGACCTTGGGCTTCATTACCCTGCGCAAGTACTGCTTAACAACTTCATTTATCTCTATAAGGTAAATTGCCTCGTCAAATCCTTCTGGTATTCCGAGTCCTTCCATCCGACAGGAAAATATTTTCCCGACAACTGGAAAAAATTTTCCCGACGACAGGAAGGACTCTTCCAGTTGTCCGTCCGTAAACCATTCAAATTTTCGAAAATTGAGAACTTTTGGTCGAACTTCAGAAAAAGTTTTTCCTTCCGACAGGAAAGGTTTTTCCTTCCGACAGGAAAGGTTTTTCCTTCCGACAGGAAAGGTTTTTCCTTCCGACAGGAAAGGTTTTTCCTTCCGACGGTTAAGCCACAAACAGATGTCCGACGTACCACCAACCGAGCCCATTCCCAAACCAGAGGAACCTAAAGCACCAGCCCCTGCACCTCAGCAACCTCAGTTCCAGCAAGTCCCTCCACCAAATTACTACCAATTTCCACCTCAAGGTTACTACCTACCACAAGGCTTCCCGAACTACCCTCCTCCTCAGCCTATGCCTTACTTCCCCAACCCTTGGATGTTTATGCAAAACCCTGCCCCACAATTCCAATCTCAATCCAAGAGAGACCAAGAGTTCGAGGAAGGTCTGAACCGCTTACGCAAAGAGTATGCTACTACCCCAATGGAAGAAGACAGGCTTTCAGTCTCTTCCCTCAAATCGACCGATTCGACTCGTACCACAGATTCGGTTCGTGACCGTGAAGACTACCTCAAGCAGTCTGAGAGACTCTTCATCCTACAACCATTTACAGTTGGAGCTCTCAAGAACATGCGCAATTACGAAGGTCAGACACCAGCTGGAGACCGCAAAACAGACGTACTCGCAAGAGCAGTCCAACTGGTCAAGACAAAGACTGAGATAGTCGACTTCATTCTTGCAGCTTGCCCATACAAGTAAAAAAATAAACAATTACGAGTTAAACTTTTTACTCTTTCTTTTCTGAGTTGTTTAGAGCTGGTTTCTCTTGTAGAAACCTTTCGTACTCTTCCATGGTCATGTAATTGCGAATTTGGTACGCAATTCCAGGTTCGTTGTTTTTGAACCTTACGTATGTAACGCTTCCATCCTCCTCAGGGAAGTAAGCTGCTAACATCTGACCAAGTTTTCTCGGTGACTCGGAGCTCATAAAAATGTCACTTTTTAAACGTTAAGTTTTTAGTCTTATTTTACCCTTTGTTTACCCTTTGTTTGTCAAGGTAGTATTGGAGTGCAATTTCTCCAAATTCTCTGTGTCGGAGTTCTTCAGCATTTTCCAAGGTGTCCTTGGAGAACTCAAAGAAGTTGTCAAGAACATACTGCCATGCTGCTCTTCTGAGTTCGTCGGTATTTTGGAAGTGTTGCACCTTCGAGTCTTCGGACATGAAAAAATGACACTTTTTCTATTAAACCGTTTTGGCATTTCTCATGAGTGAGTATAGTTCTGCCGAACCATTGGAAGAGAAGAAGTACCTTGCTGGCAAAAGACAAAAATAGTTGCCTTAGTTGTCATTGCAATTGTACTCGTAATTGAATTCATTGTACTTCTCTTCACGTACATAAAACTCAGGACGGCATATGCTTTAAGAAGCTACCATCTTACTAAGACTAAACACTTAGATTTTTCAAGCTTGACTTTTTACAAATTTGAATTTTACACCCAAAAATATATTTTAGGGTAGAAGGTTAGATCTAACCTGTTTTCTAACCTCTTTTCTACCCTCTTGAATTTGTCATGAGTTTTCCCGAAATAAAAAATAAAGTTGGTTTTTTTAAAAAAATATTTTTTTATTTTTATTGTAAGAACATGTTAGCAACAACAGCACCAAACTCGTTAGTCATGAACCCAACTTCAATGTTAGTAGAGATGAAAAGCTTCATTCCTTCTTCATATACTTTTGAAACAAAAATCCAGAAGATAAAGCAAGAACTTTTAACAAGTAATTTAGACTGTAGTGCGAAAGATGAAACAAATGAACAGTATCTTTATGAAATGCAGGACATTATTGACCATCTACCTAAACTTCCTGAAATACAACAACAAAAGCTTACTATTCCAGAATTCGATGAAATAGAAGTCAAAGCAACTGACTCAGTAGAAATAAAGAAGTTCATACGAAAGGTTAACTATGAGTTTCTTGGATTTCATTGCAACCACAAAGTCATGGACAAAGATTGCGACATGGTATATAAGAACATCTCTGACATATACAAATCTGAAGAGTTTAAGACCTACGACAACTTTGTTTCGTTAGTTGCAAAATGTGTATGGCAGATAAGAGATAAAGATAGAAGAGGTAAGGTATGGAATGAACAGATAAAACCCGCAACTTTTGAGTTAAAGAGAGCAATTGACGCCTTAGTCATACTAGCAGGTAAGATTTCAATGTACAATGCTAAAATGAACCCACAATGTTCAAAATGTAAAGCAGCAATGAGGAAATATAACTACTCCGTCAAAGAGATAGAACGTATGCGAAACGACTATGCTGACTTAAAGAAAGAAGTAGAGAAACCAGCAGAAGATAAAATGGACATGTTGACATTTCTGAACAAAAACTATCCAACAGCTGACGATTTCCTTCTATCTGATGTCAAGAAGAAATATAAAGAAACCTTCGGCATTGTTAAAACATTCGATGTACTGACAGAAGAAATAGAAGCTACGAAATTGTTTAGAATTTCACGAATTCACAATGTTTACCATGTAAAACGCTTATAAAATAACTGGGGTAGAAATGAGGTTAGAAAACAGGTTAGATCTAACCTTCTAACATAAACATTATTTTTATTGAATTCCGTATGAAATTTCATGAATTTCCTCATATGCTTGCTTCCCTCGGAAAACCGAGAGAAGAACAGCGAGTAGTGAAAAAACCCTGGTCGCCAAAACTCTTTATTTTTCAAGCTTGACTTTTTACAATTTGAACTTTGTTTGCGTAGATATGAATTCTGAAAGAAGTATGAGGGTCTTGTATGACTTTGTACTTCTCCCATAGTTCATGTCTGTCAAACTTACCTGCCATGGACTCTTTCATAAGTTCCATGAAATCGTCTTCGGACAATCCAGGGAAAAGTATGATATCAGTAAGTATTCTTTTAACATCCTTACTTAAACTCTTGGCTGTCTGTACACAAATGACAACTGAAATGTTAAAGTGTCTGAGCTTCTTAAGAATTCGACACATGTCTTGTTCTCTGTTCTTTAACAAAGGATGAGAAGCAAAGTCATCTAAGATAAGAAGACATCTATGAGGGTAAGTCTTCCAATCGTACGATTGCAATTTCTTCGAAATGTATTCTATCTCTTTCTGTTTGTTTCTGAAGTGTTTCTTCTCTAATATTCTCTGCATTTCCTCATTTGGGTCTTTAAACTTAGAATTTATATACTCATTTATAGCATTATACTTCAAAACTCTTCTTTGGTACTTCTTTATCCAATCTAACAACTCAGAGTCTTTTATACATACTAACTTAGACTTCTTTATAATATCTTTGAACGAATTGACGGTTTGGTCAAATTGACCAGAAGTACTACAAATGACTACTAACTCATAGAATGGGTTCTTCTCATCTAGTTCTTGTTGTTGTGCAGCCATTTTAAGATAAGTGAAAGTCTTACCCGACCCAGGTGGTGCGATTAGACCTGTTATACCATTCTGAGCAAATAGGAACTTGTCATGTATAGGCTTTATCTGAGCATTTTCTAACTTCCTCTTGTTCTTGTTTAAAACATTCTCAAATTTCTTGTCAATGTCAGCAAACTTTTTTTCTAACATATTTTTAGAAAAATTAAAATTTTTATCTTTTAGAAAATGTCTAGCGATTTCGCTATCTATATTCGAGACAAGCTTTTTGACAGCAAAACATCTGTCGACCATAAAATCTTACATAGTGTAAACAAGAAAGGTGAATTTGTTCTAAAGTTCTGTTTCTGGGAATATGACAAGAACCATAAAACATTAGGCAGAGAAGTCTTAAAATTTGTCAATGACAGACTTGTTGACAGAGATGACGCCTCTTGGAGAGATGAAGTCCAACAAAACTTCTTAGAATGCAAAGAAGACACATGCACTGTTCTTGAAGATGAAATAGAAAACAGAATAGAAGAGCTATTAAAGGACAAAGAACTTTTACAAAAATATGGTTCTGAGAAATTTGACATAACTCCACCAGAAAAGAAGAAGAGAGAAAAGAAAGAAAAGAAAGAAAAGAAAGTAGAAGAAGAGAAGAAAGAACCTGAACCAGAGAAAAAGAAATTTGACATGTAAAAATAAAATTTTATTTTTAGAACATTTCTGGGTCAATGTCAATGTTCTCTTCCTCTTTAGGAGCAAACACTGGCTTAGACTCTAAAATCTTTTTACCCAACTTACCTTGAACTTCAACTATCTTAGACTCATAATATTCATAGTCGTCTGCTTTCTTTGGTTCATAAGGTATAACAAGTTTGTATGCTTTGCCTTCTTTAAGGTTTGAGAACCTTCTGTCAAAATTTTCTTTGACTGCTAACAAACCTTCTATGTCTAAGTCTTCAAATTTCGCACCATTTTTAGTCACAATAGCAAACTTAACTGGTTCGATGTTCCAAACTTTGCTGAATGTAGACTTTTCAAAATTGTAGAAGTAAACATTCAAATAAGCGAATGGGTCTAGTTCTTCTTTGACTTCTGTCATGTACTTATTTACTGAAATATATTTCGTCATCTTTTCTATCGGATAAAAAAAGATTTTTTTTAAATTTACTCAGAAAAATTTTTCTTTGTATATACGCCATTCTGAACATCTAAAAGATTTTTGACATTTGCCAAGAATGTTCGTTTAGAAGCTGTCATATAACCATATTCTTGACAATACTGTTTATACGAATCGTACAATGACCTTTCATCTAATGACACAAAGTCGCTTTCTTCTATGAACAGTTCATATACACTCTTGTTTGCTTCTAACAATGTTTGTCTTTCTTCGGTATGTGGAATTTGTCTTGGATTGAACTTTGAAATATCTAATGTCATGAAATATGAGAACAAGTGGTTGTAAAAGTTAGGTGTCAAAGTTTCTGCTAAGTCGTCAAAATATTCTGTATCTTGCATATGAGAATCTGACGTTCTGACAACTACATATCTTCTGTCAGAACTTTCTAACTTCATCGGAACAGCATTGTTTGAAACCATAATGAAGTTTGCAACATTTTCACAAACTCTTTGGTCTTTATATTTTCTTTCAACAACTCCAACTTTGTCTGTTATAAGACTCTTCAAAGCATCTGAGTTCAAAACTTTTGTTGTATCTATACTTTGAAGTTCATTGCAAACTATAAGTTTCATATTCTCTATTGAAGAGTTAAATTTACCGCAGATGTTTTCTAAGTTTGTCATATTAGGGTTCGAATAGCCCTCTAACAGTTTGCATAAGATATCTGTAAGAAATGTTCTTACCAGTTCCTTGTTTTCCAATTATAATGAGAGCAGTTTCATTTTTAGCACTTGGATGTTGTAAGATGTTTGCAAACCAACATAAGATATACTCATAGACTCTTTCGTTTCCATTGCATATAATTTCTTTGACATGGTCTAACCAAGCTTCTATAATATTTTCTTTCCATTCTACTTGTTCGTATTTATATCCAGTGAAGATAGAATAGAAGTTTGGAGAAGGTGTATAGAACTTTATACCTCGAACTGAAAAATCTTCTAACTTTGACAATAAGATATCCCAAGCATCTAACATCTTCATCCAACTTGTACGACTTTTATTTTCTTAAGTTTCTGTCTACATTCTTGTTCTGAAACTATTGTTGCTCTTGGTTTGTTAAAGACAACATCCCATTCTTTCATGACATAACATTCTGGGGCAGAGTCAACATAAATGACTAAACGTTTCAAATTCTCGACTGCTTTGTTATAGTCTCTAAATGGACACATATTTCTGAATGCTTGGAAGTCATAAAAATCTGAAACATCTATTCTGTACATTTTTATAAAAATAAAAAAAATATTTTTTTATTCTTGACTTTGTTGTTGCATTTGTTCCATTTGTTGCATTTGTTGTTCTTGAGCTATTTGTTGTTGAAGTTGTTCTTGTAATACAATACTTTCACCAGTTGCATCTTCCAATTCGAAACTTTCTGCCGTCATTGACAAATACATAGGACATAAAAGTTTTACAGGAACAAAGTTTGCGTCAACTAAGGTTAAGTTTATGTTTGCTAAAGTGTTTGAGTTCACTAAAGCTTGAAAACTCTGCATTCGAATGAACAATAGGCAAACCAGCAGAGAAAGTGTTGTTTATACGCATGAGTATCTTTTGGTCATAGTAGTTTCTGTCGACATTCGAATAGCACTTTGAACCTAAGTTTGAAACAATATATAAAATAGGTGTACTTAAAGTCAATGGAAGACATTCCTTGTATGACACCTTTTCCTGTTATAGGAAACTGTTGGTAGTAAAAACCAGATATAAGTTTTGTATTATAGCTCATATCGTTTATAGTAAACTCAGTCGGACATCCAAACATAATGAAACCTGCTCTAGTTGCAGCACATGTTACATCCGTCCTTAAAGTATTAAATAAGTCAACAAAACCTGTTGGTGGTATATCTGAGTAAGTATCTTCAAAGGAGTATTTTTTACCATTCACAACAATAAAGTCTTCTGGTGTCAAAAGAGCAAAACAGGCTTTAGTCGTCATTGTGTTTAAGGTTAGTTTACAATATCGTCCTTGAGGACTTTGTAAGTTTGTTGTTATAGAATTATATGACTCAGGGTTTTTAGTCGTAATAGTATAAACCACTATGTCTTCTGCCATTTACTTAGCAAATAAATTTTAATGAAATGTTGTGGTCGTCAAATATTTTTATGACGTCTGGGAAACTATATTTTAAGTTCAACGTTTCACCTCCTTTCATAACGTATATCTTGTCAATGACATTATATGAAACACCACAGCAACTAATGTCGGGTTCTATTTCTTTGATGTTTATATCGTCTGCCTCTGTCAAAAGTTTCAATAGTTCTTTCAAAACTTCATGAGGTGCAATGACATATGAGTTCACTTTTACAGGGTTGTGTTCGACCAAGTTTAACATTATACCTAAAGCTTGACAAATCTTCTCCTGAGTTTTAAGTTTGTCTTTAAGTTGTTGGTAGTCGTTTCGAATATCTGCAACAGAACTTAAGTCTCTGCTAACTTCAGGATATGTTGGTTGTTCTTTTACAGGAACTATTGTTATACCATCTTCGTCTTCGTATGGTTTCCCCACTTCAACATCTCTTTCTTTGACATTGACAACAACACTTTGACTGTTTGTTTGAGTTGGTGAATTTAACTTCACATCTGCCACCGCCATTAAACCTTTTGAAACACTTACGCTTCTATTTTTCGGAAATGACATTTTACTTAGAATAAAAAGATGGACGTATTTGAGTATCTCTTCGAATTGAAGCAAACAAAGTTTACACACACAAACAATACAAATACATTGACAGAATAGTTCTTTACACAAACAATGGAAAATGTTATAGAATAGCAGTCTTTGCTGAACCAAAATATTTTCATAAAGCAAAGAAAGTTGGTATAACCGAAATGGTGAAAGTTCTTGAAGCAGACAAAAATATAACAACAAAACTGACCGATATTTCTAAAGGTAAGTTTATAATACAATTTATGTCAAAACTGGCGTACTGTCAATATTTGACGGAGAGAAGTCAGTTCAAGAACAACTTACTGACCTGCTGCCAAAATCTGCTCGATGGAAGCTGTCGTTATGCCAATCTGAGGAGCCCCAGCAGGTTTCATCGAACGAATCTTCAAAAGAGCATCTTCCGTGAAAAGTGCTATTGGTTTTGTAAACTTCTTTGCTTTCAATTCATCTGGACCGTCTCTGTCACCAGTATATTGTATTTGAACTGTACCAACAGTTGAAATACCACCCATAAAGTCTTCTGAGTCAGCAAATGGAATGCCAAGCCAAAAGTTTGAACGGTCTCCATTTGTATATTGAGTTTTTTGACCTCCTGTATGAGTCCATACTTTCACATATGGCATAATAGAACTTTGCATTTCAGGGTTAATGGTTGTTGTGAAGTTGTTGTTAAAGTTCATAGCATCTAATGTCAAGTTGTATGACCTCATATCCTCAACTGTAGAATATTCTTCTCTTGGATATATTTGCCATCTATGTTTATATGTATTTAATACCAGGGTTGTAGAACAAGAATAGTCATTTATAGTTCGTCTGAACAGTACAAACATAGTATCTGCATGTTTCATTGCAGTTGTTAAAGCAATATCTGTTCTTGCACCTGGGTCAGCACTTTGGTTTCCAACTTCACCTGCAAAGTCTTTGACAGATATTTGGTGTATAGGGAACATAAGTGGAACTGCAATATATTTGGCAGCTAAAGCATTTGAAATATCTGGGTCCAACATATAGACTGCAAGTCTGCTTTCTATTCTCTTGCATTCAAATTTTTCGCATGTGAACTTAACTGGGTCCCAAGCAGTTCCAGCAGCATTGAAATAATAGTTTACTTCAGTGTTGAGGTTTGAGAAACCAAAGTCTAAGTCAACTTTGTCTTTGCAAAAGTCGGCGAATGACGTTTGATTTGTTCCCTTTACGTCTGTAAGAGTGAATGGGTCTTGTGTTGGTGCAATGACTAAGTTATTTTTGCTTGGAGTAAGTTCGATAGAAATTTTTCCTGCCCAGTTTGGCAAGTATCTTAAAAACCTGAAGATGAGGAAAGATGACAAAGGAACTCTAAGTTTCAGTTTTACTTTGGTTACTGCTGCTGCAGTTTGTCCAGAAAGGTTAACATAAACTCCTGGAACGTTAGGGTCAAGTCTTCTTATTTTCTCAATAGTTGCATACTGGTCTGTTTGTTCTCTAGCTTGTGGTTGTACTGAGTTTCTCAAAGCGAACCATTCATAGTTTGCCCATGTTACTGTTTGAACTAAGTCAGAGTTAGAATATATCTTATATCCCATGAAAACTTCTGGAGCATATTGGTATCCGACATAGAAAATTCCATTGCAACCTTTCTTGTCAGACAACTTGGCAGAAGGTTTTATTTCAATGTCTTGTTCCACGTATAAGAAAGAGTTGTCAATAGAAATTATATGAAACCTGTCGCAAGCAATATCTACTGTTGTTGAAGAACCTTCTCCAAACTCACCTACGTTTCCATAAGAAACAGCAGTTGTATATTCGTAAGTTCCAGGAACTATTTCTGACCTTCTAATGGCATTGTCGCATTCGTTATACCATTCGGAAACATTTCCATTCATAGCATCCAAAACTGTTGGCGTTATATTCTGAGCGGCGTACATTTCATATGAGTAAAAATATAGAATAGTTGGATTTATATGTCATAATAGAACCCACGTGGACCAAGCTTTACTTTCTTCCTGACTGAGTTTTTAACTCTTCTTTTTCCTTCATTGCCCTCTGCTTGAAGTTGTTGCATCTTTGCATTATGTTCATCTAGTATGTTGCAAATTTCCCATGTCCTTTTTGCCTTTTGGCTCTGGTCGCCCATCTCAGGTAACCTATATCCTAGAAAGAGTTTGTCATAGTCTGTATTTGAGTCTTCGCGTATTGTTTGCATGACTCTTTCCTGAGTTTCCGGTTCAAGCTCTTCAAACAGTGCCTGTCCATATGGAATATGCTCGTTTCCAAATATATGTTTTTGTAGCCATTCTGGTTTTCTTTCCATGTTACCAACTATATCTTTTGTGAATGGGAAAGCTTTTACCCAATCTTTCAGTCTTGCGTCGTTTATTTCTGTAGTTGGTTTTATTTTGTCAAGGAACATGTTTTTCAATACTAACATTTCATTTGGTACTGTCCATTTGAGTTTTCTTAAATATTCATCCCTTCTCGGTTCATTGTCTGCAAAGTAAGTTTTTATGACATTTTGTAAACTTTCGTTTGCAAGGTCATGTACAATAGGTTCTCTTCCTTCGCTCTCCCTAACTTTCTTTCTAAACTCTTCACCAAATATACCATCTCTATGGTTCTGTGTAGTTCTTTGAGATAAATGTTCTAGAACGTCAGGTGTTATATTTCCATCAGCCATGTTCATTTCATACTGGTCCAAAATATCTGCATGTTTCATATCTTTCAATGGCATTAAAGCCGCGCTTAAAATACCAGCTATATCTGGTTCACCATTGACTTCCATTGCGTCTACAACTTCTTGGAATTGTGGTTGTAAGTTTATGAACCACCTATCCGGATTAGCTTTATGACCCCATCTCATTGTAGTTCCATCGTCTGCAGAAACAAAAGTAGGTTTGTTTCCATCTTGGTTAGGTTCTGAATGAACTTTAAACAATGTTTCATTTCTATATGTTTTCTTGAAATTTAACCTTTTTTTTCACCGAGTTCATCCGAAGATTGAACGTTAAATGCTCGTAAGTAAAAAGGGTTGTTGTATTTGTGTACATTTTTTTCAGTTCTTCCATTCTATGCTGAATATTTTCATCTGTGTTGGAGTCTTTTGTATGTCGGCAAACATTTTTCGATATTCTTCTACTATGTCAGCCGAATTTTTTTTAGACTCTTGGAAATATTCCATATTCTCCGCATACTCTTGTTGAGGGTCAAGATTTTTCGGCTGTTCCAAATCTTCATCTAGTTCTGTGAAGTTAGTTTCCAAAGGAGTGACTTGTTCGTTTCCTTCAGGCTCTTCTAGCTGTTGTTGCTGAACTATTTCTTCCATGTCTGGTTGTATCTGAACTTCTTCCTGTGGAGTTTCTTGTACCTCATCTGCTGGCATTTCATATATTCCGAGACCGTTTTAACAATTTCCCTATCTACGTCATCCGCATTCATAAGCTTTTGTTCTTTCGTTCCGTCTCTATTTTTTACGCGTTTCATGACGAAAGTTGAATTGTCATTTAGCTCTGACATCAAATATCTCGGAGTAAATTCATCCATGTCATTTGGATGATATGCTATTAAATCATATCCCTTAGCGAGCTTGTATTTTCCAGGTTTGAGATTATATCCGTTTTGGTGCTGAGCCATAAAGCTAAATAGGTTCGGGTCAGTATTTCCATCCTTGAACTTTCAATAGCTTCTTTATATCTGTCACTAAAGTCAACAGTATCTGGGAAACCACACTCTTCTTTAAGCATTTTTAAGAATTCTTGGTTTCCTTGTTCTCTACTTCTTTTATGTCCTTGCTCTGTTTGTGGTTGTTGTGTGCAGGGTTTTGAACTGTTGGTTGTTGCTGGTTGTGTGTTGTTGTGCTGGTTGTTGTGTTGGTTGTTGTGTTGGTTGTTGTGTTGGTTTTGGTGCATGCCTGTGTCTGTGTCCATGTGACGATGTAAATGTTTAGGTAGTCCTGGTGCAGGTGCTTCTCTTGGAGGGTTTGGTGGTATATAAGTTCCACCAGCTGGCACATATGTTCCATCTGCAGCGTAATGTCCTACCTGACTTTTCGTTTTTAAGAAAGCATTTACTAGGTCTGTTTTGGTCTGTTGTAACTCTTTTTCTTGACTTTCCACAACAGTTGCTCTAACGGCGTCATAGGCACTTTGAACTGCCTGTCTCGTTGCTGCATCTGTTATTTTCGTCATATTTTGTGCTACTTCTTAACTCTTTGTCGAAACCTTCAGACTTCAGTTTCTTTCCAGATGAGAAGTCGTTCACTTGTTTCACCTTACTATGAAGAGCTTCGAAGGCGTTCTTAAAGTCAGCATTTGTTAAAGCTTCATTTGAACTGTCTTCATCCGCTTGTATTTTTGTCCTTATTGACCCTATAAGTTGGGCTGCTTTAGCGTTGGCTTGGGCATCTAACCAGTCATTGTTAGCTTTTATATATTCTGCGCTTTTCATTGCCTTTTGCATGGCTGCGTCGTTATTTTTACTTTCTTGTGCTAAGTTTTCATACTGTACGGTTTGGTTTTGCAACTGTAAAAGTTTTTCTGCCTTTACATTTGCTTCAACTTCTTTTTTATACTCATCGCTATCCATATATGTCTTCAGGGCTTTTTGTTTTATCTCTTCATCTTTCAGTACTTTATATTGAGTAGTATGGTTTTTCAAATTTAAACATCTTGTTCCATTTTTGCTACTTCTGCTGCTTTTTCTGACACTTTTTTCGCATATTCCTCTGTACTTAGTTCTTTCAGTTGTTCTTCTTTCTTCTTTTTCTCTACGTTTAACTCATTGAGTTTCTTTGTGTGTCTGTCATATTCTAGTTTCTTTTCGTTTTCACTTATTTGCTTCTGTATGTCTATGTTTGACTTTTTGACATCTGTTATTTGATTTTTGAGTGAACTCAAATTCATTTGACTTTGAGGGTTATAGCTGTTCCGTCTGCAGCTCCACCATAGCCTGCCATTTTCGCTAAAAGTGCCGCTCTTAAACCTCCACTCTGTGCACCAATAACTCGGTTTAAAAGCATAGGATTGCTTGACATTTGTTGCAACATAGTGGGGTCATTCAATTTGTTGTTGCAACTGTTGTTGTGGTGTCAGTTTTACTATTGGATGTTTCAATGCTCTCTTCCTCTTACGTATATTCTTACGTAGCTTACGTGGCATTTTAAGTGAAGTTAAAAAGCGGTTTTTGACAGATGTTTATATGACACTTTTTGTTCAGCACAAAAAACTACTCGGTCAAAGTGTTGTCAGTTTTGTAAAATAACCGTCCTATCTCATTCTATAAGGGGAAAAGGCTTCTCAAAGTATACTTCCTTGGAACGCCTGTAACTTTTCCTGTAGCGACGATAGACCCTTACTTGTCCGGACAAAGTTATACTATTTTGAGTGCTCTACAAAAAAGTCAAGCGACGACTCTCAAAAACCGTTGTGTAAAAAGTTTTACCGTTGGACAAAAAAGTATATATAGAAAACAAAAAACGTTTATAGTTCATTCAATATTTGAGATGGAACGGTTTCCAACGGTAACTATTAAATAAAATAAAAAAATAGAGGGGGTTACCGTTGACGAAAACGGTTTATTTTAAACTTTTCTATGAGTAGTCCGAAAAAAACAGTTTATTTTTGTCTAATGGCATTCGCTAGCGTGTTCGCTCCAAATTCACCTGAAGAAATTGCTTGCAAACTTTCAGCACCCACAGGTTTAGAGCCTCAATATCAAACTGCAGCATCTACACATTCTCCAAGCAGAACAGCAAATTCAACTGCAATTCGCTCAATCCAAAGCCACTTTCACTACCAAAAACAATACCAAACGAGCTCCGTATTACAAAGAACCACAGCAACGCTGAACTACGCAAAATACTACTCAGATTGTCTGAAGAATACTTCAATTCAAAGCCAGAAGAAAGAGTTCCTGCAACTTTTAACAAAGAATATTGTGAACAACTCAACAAAGTTCTTGCAGACTTTACCAAACTACAAAAAGAAACACCTGACCCATTCGAATTAGGTGACACAATTGTCAACTATTTTCCAACAATAACAAAGATAATGGTTGACAGAACTATATGTCAGCTTATTGAAAGTCTTCCACCCAAAGCTGCAAAAAAAGTCGAACAGTTTTGGGTCGAATTCAAATTAAAGAGTTATGGATATCAGGATGACGAAGAAGAACGTGAGTACGGACAAGAAACAGCAAATGGCAATGTCTTAGCTCACTCAACCCCAAGTTCAAACCATTATTTTACTCAGACAACAACACAATTCAAGTACGCAAAATTGCTATTCATTTCGTTAACCAAGCAGAAGACATTGAAGAAGGAGACTCTATCTCAGTTTATGTTTGCTACTGCAATTTTTCAAGGACGAATTTGGAGGACCAATTCTCATGCATGTCTTCAAGCCACGTCAGCAACTCTACGTTGAAACTGAAATAACACTCATGCATGGAATGTATCTCAAGTTTGAAAGCCAATTGGAAAACACATACAACATTTGGCTTTCATACATTCAGTTCGATACACCAGATGACTTTGATGTTGAAGAAGAAGACTCTACTCAAGAAGATGAACCACAAGACTCAATCCAAGAAGAGTCCTCCGAATTCACACCCGAAGACTAACAATTTTCCGAATAAAAACTCCAATTATACTAAACATCTTCAGGGCTAGAAGGCACGAAGTGCCTGGAAGCCCCACTACCTTTTTTTTTTTTTTTTTTTTTTTTTTTTTTTGAGTGTAAATGTCTTACAATTTTGAAAATTTTTTAAATCTTGATTTATTCAAAAACGTAAGAATAAAAACCGTAAGAATCATACATTTTTTACTTCATATGTTAAAAAAAATGATACAAAATCGCTCGATATTGTATGAATTCTTACGTTTACAAAAAAAGTCACAAAACCCATCATATCCTACTACTTGAAAACTTTGGGAAGAATGTGATGTGAATTGTTTATGGTAACATTACCATCTTCAGCGTAATCCGTAATTAGAGATTCGAAGCCATAATTTTATAATAAAATTGATTTTGAAAAATATTCTGAGGTGATTTTAAGAAAGAGTAGAAAAAGATCAATATGATAACGATACATTATTCAAATTTGATATAAAAATCATGTGTTTTTTTGAAAATACAAAAATTATAGTTTATTTCGATTTTAAACAAGGCCTTTTGCATCTTTCAATGCTTCGAAGGCCTTCTTGGCCACACCTATGAGGGAAGGATCAGTAACAAACGCCATCATAGCAGTTTCTTTGAAATAAGCTGGAATAATGCAGCTGATTTCGCTCTTATCAAGTTTAATCATGTTATTACTGTCATTTGTATAAAATCCGACCTTAAGAAGTGGATGTTCATTATCCAAGCCGTATCTGAAGTTCAGCTTGCAAACGCGAAGCGATTCAGCCTTTACCGCTCCGTTAGAGTATTCTGCGATGTCTTCTTCGATAGAATTTGACGGGCGTTGGGAATATTGAATTCCATCCTTATTTGTTGGATGAACTTTAATTTCACCAATGCATTTGTAGAATTTTCGAGTAATAATGTCGTTGGCTATTTTCTGAGCTTCTTTGCCGCAGTTTCCTCGTTCTATGAGATATAAGAGTCTGCAATCGAATTTGATGAATTCGTTCGGGTCATTGAGTGACGTTGATATTCCCAAGTGCGGTTCCGCTTCCTTGAGCATATCCGTAATCATAAGAGAAAGAGCTTGATTTACTCGATGCTGGTAGACGCGCCTGTGCATATCGATTCTGTTAAAGAACATCCTTTCGATTGTGGTCGTTTCTGATTTTCTGTAGGTTAATTCGCCTTGAGTTATTCTACAGTTGAAAATGAGCCTTTCTGTATCAGATCTGGCTGAAAGGAATGTTCTGTTCATATCGCGGGCGAGATAGTCGAGCTTGTCGAGGTCAATATCTGTAACATGGTTCGCAATAATTTGGGAAGTCCAAACTGGGAAGTTTTCGTAAGGCTCGCCTCGAATAAAGTTGCAGGCTGCCTCGTAGATGTATCTGGGAAGAGGAAGTTTGTATTTGTCGATCATATTTTCTAAAATACGAACAGAATTATCTTCATGATCCCAAGTTGGGTCAAATAAATGAGCAACAGCTTCAAAGCAGTGACTCCATGGTCCGTGACCGATATCATGGCATAAACCTGCAATAACGACTGCATGCTCCCATTCTTCTTTAATATTTAACTCTGGTTGGTTTATTTTAAGATGTGTCATGAACTGTTGAGCTAGGTGTGCAACACCCAATGAATGTTCGAAGCGAGAGTGTGTTGCAGCTGGATAAATCCACGATGTTGTTCCTAATTGAGGAATATGACGCATTCTCTGGAATTCAGGAGTATCTATAATGGGCCAGCAATAGGCTGGAATGCTAAGTGGTCCATATACTTCATCCTGTGGCGAATGCGCTTTCATTCTTTGAAAAAAAAATTGTTTATTTTTGGGGTATGGGATTTTTATTTTGGGGTGTAAAATTTATTCTAATTTGATAAAAATACTTGGAATTTTAAATGATCGCATAAATTCAATAATAATTTCCGTATAAATTTTGTTTTTTATTTGAAATATTAAAATTTTTTTGAACTGAATTCAATTATACACGCACTACATGTGGGTCATTAGAATACCCGATCTCCACAACTGCAGTCCTTAATCAAAATATGTATATAAAATGCTCATAAATGTTAAATTCTGATGATCATTGAGCATTTATATGCAACAGAATCCACTTTACAAAATATAAGGGCTTCTAAATCGAAACTTTTATTTAAAAAAATATGAAAAATTATTTGAAAATTTAATTAAAAAGTTTATTATGATCAAACAGATAGCTATAGTATATACTTTGTCAATTTTCGTAGTAAGCTCGTATAATTATGGTTTTTCGTCGAAAATATAACAAAAAGCGAATAATCCAGCAGTAATTAACGTTGTGTATCCCAAAATAGATAATGCTGCACTAAAAGCATTGGTTGAACACCTTATAAGCTTTCTTTGGTAATTTTGAAGACGATTATTGTAAATTTTCTGTGCGAGTTCTTTATCTTTCTTCATTCCGAGTCCGTTGTAAAGTAGCATACAAAATTCGTAAATTGCATCTTCTCCTGCTATTTGATCTGGATGAATAATTGAAGTTTTCAAATAACCAATAGAAGCAATGAGATTCTTATGGCATTTAATTGTAGAAAGAGGCGACAAGCAAATTCCTAGTAAATTGGAGGCTATTATATTAGAATTTTTAGCTGATCTGCAATAAACTATAATTATATCGCCATTGATGTTCATTTTGTAGTACATGTATGCCAATAGTAATTTTGGTTTTTTGTGTGTATTTGCAACGATTAATTCCATTGCTGGGACGAATAATCGTATAATGGTAAAAGTTTGATATGAAATGTGACAAGATCTAAGATTGGTGAGATCCATCTTGATTCGATAATGATTTTTGATAGTTTCCTTGCTGTGTCAAGATCAGGAAAATCGTCTCTTGCAATTGTGAAAAGATCTGGTGTATGATCTTTCCATGGTTTGGCATCAAGTATATCCAACCTTTGCAATTCTTCTTTGAATTTAGCTTGATATTAATTGTTTTTCATTTTGAGAAGATTCGACTTGATCTATGTGTAAATCTGGTTTAAATAATCCACATATGAATGAAAATGGGCATGTATCGCATCCAACGTATATTCCTTTTTCATCATATTCGATTTTTATTTCTTCAAGATTCAAAGAATCAAATCGAGAAATAAAAAGTTCATATTGGGAACCAGTAATAGAGAAACTTACTGGATCAATTAGTTCTATTGTATCTGGTTCAGCTGGAGGAGGATTTTCTTGAGTCATTGTCACTTTTTATGAAAAATTTAACTGATGTTACATAGTTCTTTAATCTACTTTCTTAATATCACATACAAATAAAAAAAAAAAAAAAAAAAAAAAAAGGTAGTGGGCTTCCAGGCACTTCGTGCCTTCTAGCCCTGAAGATGATTATTATAAATGAAGTTCTTTATATTACGGTCTTCCAGGAGCTTTTCACAAATTATATATGTTTTCATGTTTTGTCACTTTTCTGTCACTTTTCAGGTAAAAAACATTTTTATATATATATAAATGAATTTTACAAAACCACCGTTACCGTTCTTTGGAAATAAGAGTAGATGTAAAGATATTATATTGAGAAACTTAAGAAACTACCGAATGGTCTAACATTTGTAGATTTGTTCGGTGGAAGTTTCTATATATCCCATTTATGTCATATAATATTCCCAGACTCAAAGATTATATGCAATGACTTCGACAACTATATGGACCGTCTCAAACATATTCCAGACACAAACAACATATTGAAAGAGTTAAAAGAAAAGATACCTATAGGTAAGATGGAACGTATACCATTAGATAAGAAAAATATTGTGAGAGAGGTTTTGAAAAAAGCAGAATATATAGACTGGGATAGTATATCTGCTAGACTATTATATAGTGGTTCTATAAGAGTTCATGACATTGAAACACTTATGTCAAAAGTTTTATATCTTAACTATACAAATGTTTTCAAACAGAACATAGAAAAATATATTGAGGGTATAGAGTTTGTGAGATGTCATTGGACAGATTTGTATGAAAAATATAAAGACAAGGAAATGTTTTCTTTATAGTGGACCCGCCGTTCTATAACACATGGGATTTTCAATACCAAGTAGACTGGACTTTGAGAGACTCTTTAGAAACTTTAGACGTTATACATAACCATCCATGCTTTTACTTTACATCCGATAAAAGTGGTTTGGAAACCGTTATGAGATGGTTAGAGGACATACATGACTATGAGTTTATATATGACAAGATAGAATATGAGAGAGGTCCTATAAACTGGGAAAGTGTCATAACAAAGAAATTTTATTAGTAAGTAAATGTGGTTTGAAATAGGACTACTTGTTTTAGGTTTTTTCCATTGTGTCATTTATTTCTTTGACGTGGCAGAAAAGTACAGAGAATATGAAGATGAACCAATGCCTGCAAATGTTCAGCATATGTACTCGTAAGAGATATTTTTATCTAATATTAAATGGACGCACAGAACTTAGCGAATGCACAGCAACCTGGACAACCAAACCCAGAGAATATTCCAAATGAAGTTAGAATACAAACTGCAATGGCAAACTATGGTCAAGTGCCAACAGATGTACAAATGCAAACTGCCATGTCAAATGACGCTGCGTTAGGTTTGCCACCATGGTATGCAAATATGAGATGGAAAGAGTTTTATACAAACCCTGAAGTGGGATATAAACAACTTTATGCAGATGACGCGAACACAGGAGTTGACCCAGAATATGTTTTCTACCAGAGGAGAAACAGAATGTATGAGCTCCAGTTAAAGAATGTATGGAACTCAACAGGAACGTAAGAGACTAGGCGGACATTAGATTTTTACATATAGTAAAATGGGTTTCTTCAGTAAGATAGGAAACTTCTTTCGAAATGTTGGAAGAGGTATATGGAATGGAATAAAAACCGTAGGAAGAGGAATTTGGAACGGAGTCAAAAATATTGGTAAAAAGTAGGTCAGTTTGTTGGTATTATACCTAAAGACCCTGAACCAGAAGAACAAGCTCCTGTTATACAACAGCCTGAACCTGCACCACAGTCTAGTTGGCAACCAAATCCAACACCTCAACCGTATTAAAAAATTATATTTTTACCGTTCGATAGTAGTTGTATATGAAACTAAGTTCTAAGTAAAACGCATGGTATAATGGAATTATTCTTTTTCTTCCATCTGTAGTAAACCATACTTGAAAGTCTGAAATACTTCCACTTGGTGGTTCATATAACTTTGTAGGTTTTTCGTAAAAGTCATTTGCCAAGCATAAGAAAGAGTTTTGAGCGCCAGAAATGAAGCATGAACAATAATAGCAGCTGGGTCGAAAACATCTTTAAATAAATATGTTCATCTCTTGCATATCGACTGTAAATATTTGCTAAAGGAAGTTTGACTTTCTGATTTAACATTCTTTGCAAATAATACCATGACATTGCAGTGAATTCTGTATATATTTGTTCGTCTTTCTTTGGATTGTCTTCGTAGATTTGAAATGACACTTGTGAATTTTGTTTGTCTAATACAATTCTCACATAAAGTGTGCTCTCGGTATTTGCATATTCATCAGCATATTTTGCATAACATGAATTTATTTTATCTTCTATATTTTTTAACGCAGTCTGTAGAGAAGATGAAAGGTCAACTTGTATTAGCTCAATTTCTTCCCCACATTTTTCGTTTCCCTTCAGATATATAATCTATATGAAACCTTACAATAAATGGAAAACTTTTATCTTCTACAGACACAAACTTCATTCTACGAAAGCCAATAGCTTTTGTGACAGATGGGTCTCTTAGCCTCTTAATGGGTAGTCAAAACGAAAGCCTTCATGCTTTACGGTCTCTGTCTCAAACTTTTGACCGACATTGTAAAAAGTTCATCTAATGGTTTAGTTGTAGCAACTCTTGAATTTTCTTTTTCTATTGGAAGCATATTTTATCTAGAATAAAAATGTCGAAAGATATTGCTTCCATAAGAGAAATACAACACAACCGACAACTCATTATGCAAGCTCTAAATAAGAACACAACAAACTTTTCAAACTATTCTAAGATATCTGAGTCATTGAAAGAAGGAAACTTAAAACTGACATTAAACCCAATGACAGATGAGTTTCTGTTTCAAGACAATAAGAACCATACTGTCTGTATAAATCCAACAAAAGGAACTTTAAACGAGAAACCTATAAATGAACTTCTTTTGAAAGCAGATGTTGACAACAAAGCTGACAAAGAATATGTAGACGATGCAATAGCAAAAGAAGAAGAAAGAGCTAACAATGCTTATGCAACAAAAGAACATACTCATCCTGAACTAGCAGACAAAACATATGTTGACAAATAAATGTCAAGTGAATGACAAGAGCTGAAAACGAATATTCTAAAAAGACTCATACACATTCTATATCTGAAATAACAGACTTACAAGAAACCTTAAACAGGAAAAGTGCCGTTGGACATACACATACCATTGCAAATATTACAAACTTACAAGAACCTTAAACAGGAAAAGTGCCGTTGGACATACACATTCTATATCTGAAATAAACAAATTACAGAAAACCTTAAACAGGAAAAGTGCCGTTGGACATACACATTCTATATCTGAAATAACAGACTTAAACGTTAGCCTTGAAAAGAAAGCAGACAAGAACCATACACATACAAGTTTTACAACTGTTGCTATAGAAAGTATTGAAGGAACGGTTGAAGAAACTGGTGGGATGCAATATATTGTAAACCTCCTACTTTCCACAAGGTTTAACATCGGATGACGACATAACGACGATGAAAAACATTAGATGTAAAGATGTTTATTCATGAAGGATGAACATAATATTAAATTCACTGCTCAAGATTTAATGACAAGAAAGCAGACAAAACAGAGCTTCAAACATTAAAGACAGAAATGCTTCAAACATTATATCCTATAGGTTCTATTTATACGTCAATGAACTCTACCAGACCAGAAACAGTTCTGGGTTTTGGAACTTGGACTCAAATAGTCGACAGGTTTTTGTATTGTGCAAACTCTTCAAAGGAACAGGTGGAAGTAAAACGATTTCAAGGAAAATTTACCTGCACATAGTCACTACATAGATTTAAGTACATCTCAAGCAGGTTGGCATAAGCATAAATTTGGGATTGGTCGGCAATGACAAAAGGTAAAAGGATATGATGTTAAAGACAACGTTCAGTTTGCTATAAATTGTTTCTGGGGTAACACTCAGGGAGTGGAAACCATACACATCGCGTTTCAGGATATACGCAAACAACGGGACAAAGTAAAGAATACATGCCACCTTACATGACAGTTTACGCATGGTATAGAATTGCTTAGTCGTCATTTTCAACTTCTTTAGCATATTCGTCAGGAGTTGTCTTATATTGTTAGGAACTGTCTTTGAAAGTATACCACCTTGAACTTTGACAAGTTTGAAACGAGGTCTGACAATAGTAGTTTTATCTTCTGCTTGCAGTGTGTACATTTTGCCATGTTTGCCTAAAAACTTCATAATATTCTCCTTGTATACTTTCTTCTATTTTTACGAACACGAATGTGAGTACCTGTCGGGTTCCCATTGTTGTCATAGTCAATAGTATTTTCATATGGGTCGCGTTTAGGTATTTCTATTTTTACTTTGTCACCTTTCTGAAGTTTGAAGCCCGGCATTCTTTCTTGTTTGTCTCTTTTGACTAAATTATTAAATATATAGTCTTTCTCTAAGTCAGGGTTGTTTTCATTTTCTCGGGGAGTGGTTTCCCAAACCTTTTTGTTTACGGCTATTGTAAATATTTAAACTTGTCTCATCTTTGCCTGGGAGAAGTGTCTATATTTGTCGTCATATGACATTTCATTTGCTTCACCACCTTGTGGTTGGTTTAAGTCTCTTAACATTTTTTATACAACCGTCAATGACACCAAGAGCAGAATGGTTTTGGTCGACAATGAAATATTGGTTTACATTTTTTGAACGCAGATAGTTTTTTACATCATCTGATTTGAAAGAACTTTCACAGTCAGATGTCAGTTTGTTTGGATGGTATTTGTCAACGAATATTGTCAAAGCTGCTAAGATATCTAAAATAGCTTTGGACTGTAATGGTATGGCTTCACAGTATCTTGTGTTTGACGACAAATATTAGCCAGTATGGTGGTCCATCTGTTCTAACTCTCGGAATGTTTTCCAAGATATCCATAAACCAAGCATTTGTTGTTGAACTAAAGATTTTTATCATGAGTGCTTTTTTGTTGCCTTAGAAACATAGGGTCCTTGTTTGGATTCGTCATTTTTTATCCTATAAGAAATGGGTTTATTTGGCGCATTAGCAGGAGTTGCATCCAGATTTTTGCCCGCAGTGGGAACAATAGCCAGAGGTGTATTTGGAGTTGGAAGGAAGATTTTGAGTACATTAGGTATACTTAAAGAGAAAGCACAACCTATTATACAAACTGTACAGAAAGGTTGGGATGTAGCACGAGATGCAACAAATCTTATTCCAAATCCTGAAACAAGAGGAAAAGTTCAAGGATGGATGGACAATGTAGGAAGACAAGCAGGAAACTATTATAACAAAGCAAATGACTACTATAACCAAGCAGGACCACTGATATGG